ATTTTACATGCTATATTTATTTTTTTTTTTTTTTTTACTGTTTCACTTCATTACTGCTGTGTATGTGCTCCATGTGAGTGACGTAGGTGCTTATGTAGGTGGGTTCCGACTTATGGCGAAAATCGTGTTACATCACGCTGTAGGAACAGATCTCCAATGTAACCTGAGGACCCACTGGACACTTCCAAAATGTCTGAATTTTTACAATAAGCAGAGTATTAATTCTTAATTCAAAATAATGTTCATTCTAGGTTTTTTTTTTTAATATTTAAAAACATTTATTGATTTTAGTGAAAGAGAAAGAGGAAAGGAGAGATGAGGAAAAGAAACATTGATTTGTTCTACTTATTAATGGATTCATTCGTTGATTCTTGTATGTGCCCTGACTGGGGATCGAACTTGCAACCTTGGTATTCGATCTAACCAGCTGAGCTACCTGGCCAGAACTTCATTCTAGTTCTTAAATTAATTTATAAGATATATTTTTCAGCTGAAACCGGTTTGGCTCAGTGGATAGAGCATCGGCCTGCGGACTGAAAGGTCCCGGGTTCGATTCCAGTCAAGGGCATGTACCTTGGTTGTGGGCACATCCACAGTAGGGGGTGTGCAGGAGGCAGCTGATCGATGTTTCTCTCTCATCGATGTTTCTAACTCTCTATCTCTCCCCCTTCCTCTCTGTAAAAAGTCAATAAAATATATTTTAAAAAATATATTTTTCACAAATTAAAAAAAATTGTATGCTTTCTATTCTATATAATAAAAGCCTAATATGCTAAGTGTCTGACCGTTCGACCAGTCACTATGATGTGCACTGACCACCAGGGGGCAGATGCTCCGAGCAGTAGGTTAGCTTGCTGCTGGGGTCCGGCCGATTGGGACTGGGCGAGATGGGTTGGACATGCCCGGAGCCCTCCCTGGCTCTAATGGCCCTGATCGAGATGAGCTGGATATGCCCTGGAGCCAACCTCCCATGGTCCCTCCCTGGCCTCTAAAGTATTTCTTCTAATTAATTTCCTTTCAATGTGCATGAATTCGTGCACCGGGCCTCTAGTTAAATTATATTCCAAAATAAATTATACATCCTGACAAAGCAATAGTAGTTTTTAAAAAAACACTATAAAATTTCTAAGTGAGACCTGACCGGTTTGGCTCGGTGGATAGAGCGTCGGCCTGCAGACTGAAAGGTCCCAGGTTCGATTCCAGTCAAGGGCATGTACCTGGTTGCGGGCACATCCCCAGTGGGGAGTGTGCAGGAGGCAGCTGATCGATGTTTCTCTCTTATCGATGTTTCTAACTCTCTATCCCTCTCCCTTCCTCTCTGTAAAAAATCAATAAAAATATTAAAAAAATAAAATAAAATAAAATTTCTAAGTGAGATACTAAAATATATAAGTGTCAAGAAAACAAGACTTACTTAGCATTCTGCTCCCAATCATTATAACCTTTATAGTACATATGAAAAGCCTTTCCATTTTAGTTACTGCCTTTCAAACTGACACTGAATTAGGAGTTGGGAAATGTAGAATCTTTCTAAACAGCCTCTGTATGGTAAGGGATGGAAGAGAGGGAAATTTTACCTTTGGGTTTTAGGAAACAGCAAGTTTTATCTTCCTTATTTGTAAAATGCAGATACAATTACCTTATCAGATTATGATGATTAAAAATGAAAGCCATCAGGGGGCAGATGCTCAGTGGTTGACTTATGAACCAGGAAGTCACGGTTCAATTACTGGTCTGGGCACATGCCCTGGGTTGCAGGTTCGATCCCCAGTAGGGGGCATACAGGAGGCAGTCCATGTAGGATTCTCTTTCATCATGTTTCTATCTCCCTCTTTCTGAAAATCAATAAAAACATATTAAAAAAATAAAAATAAAAATGAAGGCCAGGTAACACTGTCTAGGAATTGGCACTTTGTAGAAGGCAGTCAATAAATGACAACTATAAATTGATCCTTGTCTAAAAATGTCTTCACTGACCTCTATTAATGGATATTATAATTTATAGAAATAAAACATTCTTCAAATTGTATTTTCTATTAGATGAATTAGACAAGCTTGGTATAG